TCCGTCCGTCTGTCCGGGGCTTCGCTCGCTCCTCGCTTTCGGGCAGCCATGGCCGCAGCTCAGGTCACCGCCATCCTCAGCCTCACGGCGCTGCTGCCCACGGCCGCCTTCCCCTGCGGAGCCCCACGCCCGGACAACACCACGGCATCAAAGGTAGGAGAGACCTGAGCCCCAGGGGGCTGCCCCACTCCTGCAGCGAGTTTGTGGGTGCTCTGCTAAGCCTCACTGCCCCCTGGGACAAGGGGAAACCCCCCCCCTTGCCCCCCTCGGCACATCTGCTGAGGCGCCTTCCGCAGAAACACCTGCAACAAACGGGAAACGCTTGCTTTCCAAAACGTCCTGAACTACCCGATTTTCTCGTGGTCCCCCAGCGAGCCCCAGCGATGACCTCAAAACAAGGGGGGCTGGCTGGGTGCTTTTTGGTGCAAATCCCCCGCGGCAGCGCAGTTGTCCTGACCCTGCCGCACCGCGCAGGGGCACCCGCAGCCAACGCCAGCACTGTTTCCCAATCCCCACATTCCGCTATTTTTATTGTTTTTCCCCACACAGGTTTCATTTTGTAGCTGCCAGTGCGGTGCAAGAGGGAGAACTAGCAGAGGCCTGAGGTCAAAAATAACCATTTTGCCATGGGGAGCGTGGAAATCTCCTCCCCAAAGCTCACCCTGAAAGTGCAAAAGCTCTCACCACCCTGCCCCTCTCCCTCCACAGCTGCTGGGGACATGGCTGTACGTGGCAGGGGCTGCCCAGTTCCCCCAGCACCTCCTGGAGATGCTGCTCATCGACCACGGTCACCTCTACGTGGAGCCCCGTGAGGAGAAGCTGCTCATCACCCAGCACATGGCCGTGTAAGACGTAGCCCTCGGGTCCCCCGGCCCCAGCCCATCTCCTCCCGTGTGCTGCAGCCCCCGCAGCCCTTTCAACACAAGATATGAGTATGATTTCAGACAGGTTTTCCCAAGGACAAAGTCTCTCCTGGCCGCTCCATGCAAGCTCTCCCATCCCCTCTCTTCCTCGCCCCTTCTTTTATTTATTTCAACAGCCCCCAGGTTTAGGCGAATTTTGCAGGGTACAGAGGTCTTGCAGGCACCAAGCCCTGCAGGTATGGATGCTGCAGGACACAGGGAAGGAGAAGACCTCTCTAGAGGAGAAGACCTTTCCAGAGGTCCCTGCACCACGGCTGCTAGCTCTGCTGGGCACCAAAAGCTGTTTCCCCTCCCAGGGTCAGACTTCAAGGGGATGAATTTTTCTGTGCCAACACAGGCAGCTCTTTGCAGTTTCAGTTGTTTCGGGGCGGAAAACCTCTCCCACCAAGGAGCCAGGGCAAGGCTGAGACCACAAGCTGCAGGTGGAGGTCAAACACACAGGAGAAACAGCTTAACTTCAACAGTGAGAGCAGTTCAGTCCGCAGGAGCTGGCACAGCCAGGTTCCCAGCCCACAGCCGGGGGCAGGTGCCCCGTGCAGTGGCAGCACCAGGTCTGGGGCTTTGCTGGTCCGTTCCAGCCCACAGTGAGGGGTCTCTGCTCTCCTTCCCCACGTCACCCCTTCTCCTCTTTCTCTCCAGGGGGGACCAATGTCTCACCAACAACTCCACCTACTTCGAAAGCGCCGCCGGTAACGCCACGCTGGTGAAGCACGGTGAGCAGCGCCGGCAGGCACGGCTGTCGGGGTTATCCCCCAGTCCTTTTTTCAGCGGGGTGAGACGCACAAAGGGCCCATGTCCATGTTTTACATCATCTGACGCATTTTATTCCTGGGTCGCTTTGTCTGTTTGAAGCCTCAGTGGACTCCAAACGGCTCGCCAGGGCCAGGGGCTCACTGGGTCAGCCCCACTCCTGGGGCACCCTGGGGATTGCGGCCCCACCACCAAGATTCACCAAACCCTACGAAGCAACGCCGTGCTGGGAGCAAGGAGCAAACCAGCTCCCATCCCTGTAGGAGACCACCTCGTTTGTAAAGTTATTTCACAATCCCTCGGGGAAAGGAGGGGAATATTTATGGCAGGTTTCAGCAAATTAATGAAGCTTTGCATTCTGAATTGTTTCCTCCTCGCTGAGGAAATGGGGTGAGCCATTTAGCAGAGGAATCGCAAACCCCCTGAGAGAGTTTGCACTGACCCAGCCAAAACAGCATTGCTGCGAGCAGGGGACACTTTCTCCCCATTTTTGCAGCCCCCCCCCTCCCCAAGCTGCAAGGGACTTGCTCATACCCCAAGCACCAGCAAGCCATGCCATCCAGCACATTGCAACAGCAGGGCAGGAGCTGGGTGACTTTGGCTCCTTCACACCCCAGGCCCACATTTAAGAAACACAATTCAAATAAACCAAGAGCCAAACAACTCGCCCTGTGTCAGGACATTTGTCCTCACTCACTGCTAAGGGCTGGATCCCCAGGGCTGCTGGCATTGCCCACATCTAGGCTGTGGTTTATCACAGCTGCAGCACTGAAAATCTGAATATTGTGGCTGTTCCCAACCCTGACTCTTCTCTCAAAGCCAAGACGCAGCAAACTGTGGGGATGGTGATGAACCTCAGCTCTGAAGACGTTTTACTCATCCAGTACAAACCACAGAGGGAAAGGACGTATTTGGGACTATATCTCTACGGTATGCAAACTCCATCCTACAGCAACTTAAAGCTATTGTGGGACACCAAAACACGCACATAAAATGATCAGCTAAAACCACACGACAGCTCGGTTTTGCCAACAGTCAGTGATTTTCCTGAGATTGCCGCTCCAGGGGTCACGGGAGTATTTACAAATCCCATTAAAATCTAAATCTCTTGGCAGAGCAGAAAGAGCAAGTTAAAGACAAAACCCACTTACGCCATAAATATTCAAAGAGCAGGAAGCTAATACAATTCAGCATTAGTATCATTGTAAAATCTTCATATTTTCAAGCCAACCATGATTTTTCAGTACTTGCCTCCCAGGGCAGAGCATGTGGCTTTGCAGTACTGGCACAGGCAAAGCCGATCAGATCTACCCACAACCCCATAAAGCAGTGTTTTAGACCTTGATAAGGTTTCCTGTTGCCCTTCCAAGCTGCAAAGCAGTTGCTTAAGAGAGTTTGAAGACACATATAGAAAACTGCCTCCATACTCAGCCTCGGTCCCTCCCCAGGAGCATCAGACTATCCTGCAACCCCTTAAAGCCGACAGGACCAGAGCTGATCGAGGAGTGAGTTAAAAACAGCGATGCCCGAGGTTGGTTTTGCTCAGGTGTGTTCACCATGAGGGCGAGACCCCAGCAGAGACCACATCCACAGCAAGTGTTGGTGGGAGCAGGGCGAAGGGAGGCAGCAAGGGCAGGGATGCCGAGGCCACCGGTCCGTACCTAACAGCTGGCAAATGCTTCTCCTTTTCCAGCCCGAAACCTGAGCGTGAGCACGGCCCACCGGGAAGAGTTTGAGCACCACGCCAAGGGCCTGGGGCTGAGCGAAAAGGGGATCATCTATGCGCCATGGAAAACGGTACGTGGCTGCTCGTGGGTGGGCGAGGGTCGGCAGAGCTCTGGCAAGACCCCGGGCCGCAGCTCCGGCAGCCAAACTGGAGTCTCGGAGAGAGATTTTCAAGGTGGTGGAAACGGTTTAGGGGACTAAATAAAATGATGGTTTAAAATAACACACACTCCCCCCACAGACATGTGACTCCCCGAAGCAAATACCTGCACCTGAGCTTCTGCAGTGGGAAACCTGGTAACTGCCTGCCTCCCCCTGCCAGGGGCAGATAGCTAAGACATGGGATTTTTGCCCTGCAATTCCTGATTTTGCCCGCCCCCCCAGCAGAGGCCAGCCGCCCCCAGGAGCTGCAGCAAGGGGCAGGAAGGGCCAGTGCCCTGGGGCACTGCACGGCCCCGCTTCAGACGAGGCCACAACCATTTAAAACCCTAAAAACCTCGGGTTGTGCTCAGATGGGATTTGCTTTTCTGGCACCCTGAGGTGCTGCGTGATGAGCGGGTTCACAGCCCGGCTGGCTGTAAACGGGGTTCAGGAAGACTGCACAGGCCAGTCGTCCTCCCGTCCCAGCACAGGGGTGTCCATCCTTTTGGGACATCAGGAAAGAGGCAACACCATCCACTCCCACAAAAACAGAATTTTCCCTTTAGTTTTAGCCAGACCCAGCCCTTGCCCTAACCTCTGCCACCTGATTTAGGACATTTTATCCTGCAAATGACCCAGTCCCCAAGCCAGCTTGATAGGGCTCCTTTTTTGGAAAGTGGGGGGGGTGTGTGAAAATACCTTACCTTTTCCCATCCCGTCCTGTCCATCCATTCCTGTCCTGGCCATCTGCTCGTCCACAGCAGGAGACTCCAAGCTTCCAGCAGTGCCCAAAAACTCACTCTAAGCTGCCAGACTGGACCCCACGTAGCTCCTGACACCCCCCAGCCTCAAGATGTTTTTTTTTTTTTAGAAATATCCCCCACGGTTCAGGGGAACTGGGGACAGGGACACAGGCACAGGCTGAAACCCTCCTGGTGGGGCAGGGGCAGGTCTCCTCTCCCTGTTAGGCAACGGGCAGCACCTGGGAGGCAGGACCCAGCTCCTCCAAATTAACAGCTGGACCCCATTCAAATTTGGGCAAGACAAATTGCTATTAGAGAAAGCCAAGATGAGTGGAATCAGCCAGACCTGTTTGTCCCTACAAGCCCTGGTGCGATCACTGTTAGCAGAGAAGCGTTTCGTGCCTGGCTGCAAGGCAGGACCCCACATCTGAGGAGTAAAATGAAACTGATTAAACAAACACAAAAGATTTTGGGGACCTTTGTCGTCAGGCTGAAGGAGGTGGATGTGAACAGAGCACCAGAGCAGAGATTGACGTACCTCTGTGTCAGCCCGAGGCATTAGCAGGACTTAAACCACGCTAATTCTGAGTGCCTGGGTAGCACAAGCTTTTTACTGATTTCTCAAAAAGTTTGAATCCCCCTTTCCTTCAGAGCACACTTACTCCCCCCCCAGCACCGCACAGCTTTGCTCCAGAAACCTGGTTTCCTCTTTCCAGCACAGGCACCAGCAGCAGCTCCGCACCCAGGCAAGCAGCCTCTGGGATCGGGGCAGTGTGGGGAAGCCCGCAGCTTCTCTAGGCCCCTTTAGCCTTATAATCAGATAAAAAGGAAAATAAAAATACATCTGTCTTCAGCAAATTCTCTCCTGCTGGTGCACTGGCAGTTTCACTGATCCTGTTATTGTTGTTTTGGAAGGAGCTGTGTCAAGTGAAAGAAACCAAAAAAGGAAACAGCCCGTGCACGGAGCCCACAGCTACAGCCACGGCATCGCCGCCTCTGGGTACCCCCCGGCCTGGGAACGCGGGTAACTAACCCCACGTTAGGCAATAAATGTTTTCCTCAAATTCAGTGTATTTTGTTGCTCAGACGTTGGGAGAGCCGGGGTTCTGACGAGATCAGAAGTGGGGCTTGCAAAAAGAAACCGAACGCCCAAATTCACCTTGTGTGTCATTCGGCTAGGAGCTGGGAAAAGGCAGCCTTAAGCAAAGAGGGATGGAAGACGTGGTGACAGGGGGAAGGTTTTTGCCGCGCTGACTCAGTCCGCTCAGCTTCACACCAAGCTTGCAAGAGCCTCTGCCAAAAAGAAAAGCAGAGCTCGGAGGAGGCAGTAAAGGAGGCCAGCCAGAAGAGGGCAATCAGTACCTGTTTTAAACGAGTGTGCTGAGCATTGGGTGAGTAACCGCAATACACCGGAGGCTGGACACTCCTCTTGAGCTGTGCAGGCCGAGGGGAAGAGGGTGCTTCAACAGAAGCAACCACCCGAGTCCCTGGACCGCAGCCTGAGCAGCTGGGGCAGGCGCTCCTGCCCAAACCCTTCGGACCCGGCGAGAGCTCCCCGACACCGTTCACGCACAGCCCCGTTTTGTGACAGCGTGACCACACTGACAAACCCCAACCCAACCCAGGCTGGAGTTTTACTTCCCCACAGAAAAAGTTCCTCAGGTCTCCTCGCTTCCCAACAAGCTTGGCACCCCAGAGGGGAGAAGGTTCAAGGGCCAAGATTCACGGTGCTCCCCGTGCCCCGGTACAGCCCTGCGCTCCCCGGGCACCTCGCACAGCCCTTACCCCAGCCCCAGCCGGCTGTCACGCTGTGCCTGCAAAAGCGGGGGGCGGTTGAAAGAGACTGCCTCTGCTGCATGTCTGGGGAGTAACTCAGTCTCAGCCCTAATCTAGTAATTAAGCACTGGAAATAACCTTTCTTCCTTAAAAAGGAAGAGAAGGAGAAAAGCTGGAGGGAACACAGCGAAGAAGAGCGCCCTGCTCCTCCCTCTGCGGCACCAGGGTGCCCCGTCCCCGTGCGGCAGCGTTTCAGCGTCGAGCCTCTGGCCCGATTCCTGCAGCAAAAATGAATTTTACAAGGTCAAGCGGGACTGATTCCCTCCGGGTCTCCCAGGGCGCAGACACCTGGCCAGCCCTTGCTCCAGAGACATCCTCATCAGATTGAGAGAGGCATGTAACCCCCCACCTCGAGGAGGAAGACAGTCCAAGGGTTGGAGAGGGCAGCAGCGCGAGAGGGGATGCTGCCAGCAGCCTTGAGCACTGCAGTCCAAGAGCGCGTCGATAAGCGTCTCAGCTGACCGAAGCTGACACCACTGGAAAGCTGTGGCTCAGATTACAAGGACCCAGACTTCACGAGTAGATTTACAGCAGAATAAAAGCCTTGAGTAACAGGCAAAGGAACCAACAAACCCAGTCTGGCCCCCGCAGCAAGTTTTGTTCACCAAATCGGAGGCCACTTGCACTATGCCATGGGTCCTGAGTGACCTTCAAGGATAGCTCCTGGTGGGGTCTTTATTTATTTTAAGAAAAGAATGTACAAAGCCTTTCTTTTGAAAAGCCTTTCTTTTGAAAGCCCTATAAGCCAGCTTCCTTCGAGGGCATAAGTGGACTGCAGTTTCCAGCTCTTCTGGGAAACTCGCTTCTCTGAACCGTTACGGATACTGCGGATGAGCAAAGTCCAGCGACACTCACAGACAGGTTAACAGTATCCAAACATCACTACCGTCATTAGCCTTGATCTCAGGTTGTTGGCTTTGCCTTTAAGAATTCTGTTCTCCCAGATCCTCACAGGGAGAATCCTTCCCAGTGTCAGCGTCCTTGCTGACAATCATCCCAGGAAGAGTCTGGCCACAAACAGCACCAATAAACCGTATTGAGAAAGAGATGCAGACACGTGGTATCTCTTTGACAGACCTTTATTAGCAGACTGTTCCCTACATGAAGAATCCGAGTTAGATTTGCATTATAACAATTTGTGGTTACAGCTACAAAGATGGTTGTCATTTTGCATTGATTTTTGCATTCTGATATTCGTATTCCCATTAGGCCACACTGGTAGGAAGGAGCCACTGCAGAATTTATGACAGGTTTCAAGAAGAGGCGGGGGGTGGGAAAAAAAATCATATCACTAATCCAGATTGGTTCGATTTCCATGTGGCTAACTCCTGGCAGCACTGGATAGTCAAGGCAGAATCTCACCTCTCCATGAACCACCGAAGCCCGTCCGCAGGAGAGCAGCTGCAGAGCGCCAGCAAACCGCTGCGGTTTCTCCCACGCTGCTCCGCAGCGCCCGTCTGCACGTGAAGGGCGCGGGCTCAGCAGCAGGGTCTACGGATTCAGCCTCCAAGCACCACCGCAGCACCTTGTGTCCAAGTGCAAGTTTCCTCCCATCTCTCTGGAAACTTGCATTTCCTTTAGTCCCTGAGATTTCTCCCCTCCCCCCTTACCTAAAGACTCCCCAAGATCGCTCTCAATTAGCCACTGTGACATCCAACATACACAGACCTTCTACTTCCCAACTTCAGCCACCACCTGAAAGCCTTTCAGCCGTGCACAGAGGCGATTCCAAAATAAGGCAAGCCTCACGGTGCACCCTCTCCCCTCCTCCCAAGGTACTGCTTCCTCATCAGCTCCCTTCTCTCCTATGGCTTCTTGCTACAGAATTTCTCTGGGCTGAGGTCCTCCAGCAACAACCCCAGGCGTGGGAAAGGCAGCTCAAGCCCTGAAGGGAAGGTACGCAAGCGACTTCAGCGTCCCTCCCCACGACTCAGCTGTGTGATGTAAGAGAACAAAGAACTTTTTAAAACAGGAGAAATACAAGCACAGTAACAATATTTAAACAAGTCTATAAAAATAGTCCGACATAACTCTGTTCAAATAAATACAAAATAAATATGCTTTAAGCAGTAAAACAGTGGAATGCAACGCTGGTCCATTTTGCCCAAAGTGAAAAGTTGGATGAGGATCTCCCGGGCCTCGGAAGCCAGATCCTATCGACTAAAGTAGCCCATAATGCAT